TCGCGCTACAATTACAATGGCTTCGAGGCTTTATGGTCTTCAACTAAGCACAGTTTGATAACATCGGCTGCTCAAGGTAGTTGTGCCTTTTATTCACTTTTGTGCCATTGGTCTTGTGCGCATGTCTCTTGTACTTTGTGACGTCATCTAATACCGACCGTTCCCACATTGTGTTGTACACGGTCAATTGATTTCATACCATTTTGCATCCATACATCCACCCATCCAACCAACCATCCATCCATCCATCCAACCATCCATCCATCCATCCAACCAACCAACCATCCATCCATCCATTTATTCATTTGTTTTATTCTATTTTCAGCTGATAGTGCTGACTGTGGAGGCTTTATCAAAAAAAATCACGGTCGACTATCGAGTCCTGGCTATCCATCGTCGTATTCACCAAACCACGACTGTACCTGGATAATCTCCGTCTCTAAAGGTCGAATAATTCAATTCCACTTTGACGTTATGGATATTGATGATCGTGACTACTGCAGGAAGGACTATCTAGGATTGCGGGACGGTGCTGATAGATGGTCACCCTCTCTTGGTAGATATTGTGGAAATAGAAAGCCACGTGAGTTGACRCMCTTTAGCTTTAAAGACATTAAACCACTAGTGCCGGTTGTGCGAAATCCATATGTTGTGATTAAAATTACAGAAAATACATTTGGCACATACTTGAACACGATATTTTTTCCGTAAATAAGCAGATTAAAAATTGAGTGGGATTTAATTGGAAAATACAAGGATTTAACACAGTTATTAAATGAAGGAATGMTTCCTTTAATAGGACTTCAGGGGTCACTTTGCATCAGGTTGAAAAACAAACACGCTAAGAGGTGAAAGTATAATAACGTAATAACGATCTTTATTCATTTACAGGAAGACGCCAATCCAAGACCTCATCAAATGCACTAAGAATTCGTTTAAAATCAGACTCCTCGGTGCAGGGACGAGGATTTTCWATGTGGTGGACAAGCTACTACAAATTCAAAGCTTCAAAACCGGCAAGACGAGATATCTCAGGTAGATTACCATAGTAACTTGACGCAGGA